ACACTCTCTGACTGCAGTTCAATTACTCATTACCTTCTCCGTCGCTTCGTGGCCGGTCTTATATATACAAGACTATTATACTATATCTAGAAAGATCACGAGATTTAAGGAAAAGACGTGAAAGTTCGGGAATGACGTGGCGTGATACTAGTCACGTGACCTCGATGTCGTAACAGTATTATAATTTTACTCGATAATGGTAAAGGATTCAAACATGTCGTATATTTTACCTTTTAAAGTTGGTTATCTTTCACTTATATAAAACCTCAATATGTTTGAAACAGACATCATTAATGTATTGTTACATATCTGCTGGTTTGTTAATTTCCGGTATAAATTCTTTCCGAGGAACTTCAGCGATACAAATCCTGTCTTAATTAAATCTAGTTTATTCTTTCTCGATACAACTTTGTAATACACAGAATTTCCACAGTCACTTTAAACTTAACAACCTTTATAACACACGCTATAAATCACAGTGGTTCACACACTTTACTTACTGTGCCTACTGTTCGCTTGACTCAATTATCTATCTCTTCAATCTATCTACATATCTATCTCTCCCTGGCTTTATTTGCTGAGCTTATATACTAAAAAAGAGGGCGCCTGGCAAACACTAGGGCATTCGCGAAACTCCAGCGCGCATGCTCCCAGCGTCGCGTGACTTCCGCTGTCGTTAACTAAATCATAGACTTAAGATATTCTTATGTTTGCAAATAACGTCACACGATGATTTATTCTTTTAAGAATAATAAAGGACACATGTAGCCCTACTAACTACAGGAGCTGCAAGTGGTCCCGACTGGTGACTTCAACCTCCTGATGGCTAATTCTCAGAATCACATACATATTTTTTGGAGTTGTGAGTGAAAGCTTATAGTCCGCAACCACGTCTTGTTTTATGGAGAACGTTTCGACTTTGACTAATTCTTAGGAACACACATGTTTTTCGTTTTGTTTTTGACTTAATTTAGCAAGTTTCTAATCCTGGTATCTAATTCCCGTGAAAGTATGTCAAAAAAAGTATGTTGAAGACCTAATACATCGAAGATAGAACGACTATGCCAGGTAGTCAGGAAGAAAATGCAAATGACTTTTGTACTGTTTTAATATGGGCGTCCGTGTCATCCCTACATAAAGAATTCTAGCGCACTCTCCAATAATGCATTTATAGATCAAATACCTAAACCTCCTGTTATAGGATGTGTTGATAACACTGTATTTAACGGATCTTAGTAATTGTAATATGCATACCTTATTGTAAATATTTGAACATTTCCCAAAAAAGTATTTTTTTTTCTGGGAAGTGCTGCACGGGAAAAATGTTCGGATTGTGCTCTTAGTCATACACAACTCTTTGCATCAAAGTGATTCAATGTACAGAGCTCAAAATTTTAATAAGTTTTACTGATATAAACTGTAATGTTTTTATATATTAATCAGTGCCACCCTTTATTGAAAAAATAATATGAAGTCCATTTTATATTACTACGTTTAATTACATAAATAAAGATATAATCAAATCTTAACGTACAGTCCCAGTGAAAGTCATGTTCTTGTTATGAAGAGAGCACTTTTATTTAAAACTTGGACTCCATCTGCAGAAAGGGATGCTTTGCATTTGGTGGAACATCAAAGGAGTAATTCATTTCGAACTCCTCAATCCACAGCGAACTGTCAATGAAGAGATCTGTAGTCAGCAACTGGAACGTTTAAATCAAGCCATTCATCAAAAACGCCCTTCACTCGTCAATCGGAAAGGTGTTCTTCTCCACAACAATGCAAGTCCACATGTGGCACGTTTAACGCAACACAATATTATGGAGCTCGGTTGGGAAGTTCTCCCCCATCCACCATATTCTCCAGATATGGCACCATAGGATTACCATCTTTTTTGTTTGCTGCAACACCATCTTAATGGGGAAAAACGTATGCAAATATGGAAGGTGTTAAAGTGGAGATTGACATG